TTGGCTGTGTTCCGCTTTGCAGCTTTGATTCTGGCGTATGCCGTGTGTAAGCTGCGCCATTGGTGGGCCATTGCGGTAAGCGGCTTTCTATTTCATATTCCTCCATTCTCCACCAGAGGGCACTGTTGCTTTATGCAATACTAACTTGCTGTATTTTTCCTCGTTTAATACTTAACATGAGTTGCTTGCTCAAAACAATTCGACTGAGCTTCGCTTAAACGTATATTTATATGGTTTTATAAGATGTATAGATTAATGTAATGATCATCATATTTCCACATTTCTTTATTATAGATAACTACAGCAATCACCACTGGTTTCTTAATAGTGAAAGTAGTCTTATCAAAGGTATGAGATGTTTTTCATTCAACTTTTTTTATTTGAGTTTTATACACTTATTACATTGACCAAAAATGTCCTTCTGTTGTCCAGCTTCTGTCACAGGGAGCGTTTGGGTATTTGTTGCCCATTGTCTCCTTCATTCTGGCATGGATAGAGACGTGGCTGCTGGACTTCAAAGTCCTGCCCCAGGAGGCCGGCGATGAAATCAGTGAGAATCTAATATCTAATCACAGTGAGACGAGCAAACAGTAATCATAACTATGATCAGTAAAGGCTAATGGACATCGTTATAACTTATGGTGATCGTGATTTGCTCGTACAGTATGTAGCTAACTTGTGTGTCCTGTGTGGTAGGGTATCTTTCAGTGCAGAATGCGCTAGATCGAGAGCCTCTTTTACACCCAGGACCCATTACAGACGGCCAGTTCTACTCTCCTCCTGAGTCCATGGCAGGTAATAACTTACTAACTGTTCAGTACTAGCTGGACAAGCGTGGAGATGGTTCTCAGGGCCACATGGAAATCTACATTCATGTGTTTTACAAGTTGTGATAACTTGTTTTTCTGGTTCTGTCACTTGATGGCTTAAAAGATCAGTGACATCAGCTTTGCAACACTTTGTGGATGTTTATGGATTGTTGATTTTTTTTAGTTTGTTCCATTTTTTGTAGTCATAGTTTATTTATCATGTGTCACGGTTACATACGAGATATATAGTACAAACTCGCTACGTTTATATAACATTAACAGACACGTATTTTCCTGGAAGTGCCACTGTCAGAGCTCAGGTGCACTGCGGTGAGCGGTAGAGATATTCAAGGAAAATGGTATTTAGAGGTGTTGCAGCTGTATTAAAGTGCCTTGAGAAAATATACCATTTCCTATTGATTAATTGTATATTTTGCTCCACTATGATTTTATATGTAACACACACTAAAGTTGGTTATTTGGATGGTAAATATCATATATTAAGCTGGGTGTCAACTTTAGAGGTAATCACCATATTTATCATATTTAAAATTATGATATTAATAATTAAATATAATATTTATTGTTACTACTGTAAAGCTACATTAAATAATTATGGGATCGCCTTTAGTGCTTTTGAAATATTTACTTTTTAAAATAGTTTTGATTCTTGCATTGTGACAATGAACATTTTAATAACAGTATATTTATTGAACAAAATTATTTTATTCATCACAATAAATAGAAAATAGTACAAACTTTGCTATGATTGTTTTGAACAACTATTAACTTTGATACTATTCAAAACTATTCTAAACATATAACTTTAGCTAAAGTATTTGTATAAATACTTTGTGTCTTTTCCCTAATGCTGGTGATTTATTTTTATTTTTTTACCCGTGTGGCCCACCTTGCCTCATATATTTCTAAGATGTTTAACTGTTATGATTTATGTTCACACAAAATCTGTTGCTCCATCAATGTTCAATAAAAAAACATTAAAAACAAAACATTTTCTGCAATCACTATATATATATATACACACACACACACCGTTCAAAAGTTTGGAGTCAGTCTTTTTTTTTTTGTGCAGTGCATATGCCGGAAACAAAGCTGCGAAACACAGCCAAGAGCTGAGGAGAGAAACATTCATATACTAACATTATCTTTTATCTATATATATACAGCATATATACACTAATGTTCACAGTTTGGGGTAAGATTTTTAAAAAATAAATTGAAACTTTTATTCAACAAGGATGCATTAAACTGACCAAAGTGCCAGTAAAGACATTTCAATTCTTGCAAACAAAATTAAATAAGAATCCTAAAAAAATCTTAAGTAAATCTCTAGATTTGCTCATTTGTTTCTAGTTTGACAGTTTAGTTTACTTTAATTTGCTTTAGTTTAGTTTAGTTTTGTTGGTACATTAGTTTAGGGATCAGTTCTCACTATTAGCTATATGTTAACATACATATTACTAGTTTATTGGCTGTTTATTAGTACTTATAAAGCACATATTCTGCATGGCCATATTACACATCCTTAATCCTACCAATACCTAAACTTAACAACTACCTTACTAACTAATTAATAAGCAGTTTGAGGCAAAAGTCATAGTTAATAGTTAGTTAATAGTGAGAACTGTACCTCAAAATAAAGTGTGACCATTTATTTTTGTTTAGTTTTGTTTTCATTCTTTGCACTTCTTGATAATTGAGTCAGCAGTGTCCGTTCCATTGTGGGCAACTAAACTCTTTTTGGCATTGCTGCAGTATGTGTCCCTTTCATATTTTATGCATTTTAAATTATCGCACATGTCTTTGCATTACCCTGTGCCTTCATGTGCTTTAGATTCACGGCCTAAAAAAAGATCACTTTTCTGTGCTGATTTTATTCAGATGGATGTTGTTCATCTTAGTAAACAGAGCTTTTATATATATATATATATATATATATATATATATATATATATATATATATATATATATATTATTATTACTTCATATTTCTATTTTTCAATATTATTTCAGTTTTCAGTTGTTGCTTAGAAAAACATCACGGGCAACAAAATGATGTGTACTTTATTAATATGAGAAAATTGTAAGTGAATATTTTTATGAATATAACATACCTTGTGCATTTGTAAAAACATCCCCACTTGTGATTTTTGGCTTGTTTGTTGTGTGCAAACAACAGCCATGCTCTGTTAATCACACTAAATATGATCCTTTGCTTCTGTAGACTCCGATGAAGACCTTGATGATAAATATGATCTTGAGAAGCCCATCGTCTAACAGGTATCAATATTAATAGTTATTTTATAAAATGTTTTTCTTCCTCAGTTGATCTAATCCAAGTAATCTTAATAATATGTTGTTATTTTGCTTTTTTATTAGGAGCTCAGATTAAAGACTGATTTTCCAAGTGCAACAGCCTCTTCCTCAACCTTGGGCCATGTGTCTTAATATAGGTTTTTGTACATGGGTGACCAGAACAAGACAGTCACTCTGCCTTAAATCCACCATCGCCATGATCAGCAGTTTGTTTATCTCTCTCTCCATGCCACACAAGCTCTTAGTGCAATCGATTATTTTGTGTGACTTAATTTTTTTCCACTGAACAAAAAACTAGTGTTTATGCAGTACTGCTTGAAAAAAATGAAGGATTTTAATGTGCATTTTGAACTTAATCATCAAATGATATCAGCGTTGAACACGACATTTATGACACTCTTCAAATGCTTCAGTGTAACAAAAAGACTGCGTCTCACGTTTACGCTACTAGCTCCATATGTGTATTAACATTGTTATGCCTCTGATCTCACATACATCACTGGAGTTGACCTAAATGTGAAAAGCAGTATAGTCTCAGGTCTGCACTGCCACTCAGTGTGTGAAGTTCATGTTTTTCCCTGTCTGTTTTCTTTTTTTTTAATGCTTTTTCTACCTGTCTGGGAGTTTTTGGAATGAACAGAGAGATGATAGAGGCTTGATTTACTTGCAAAATAAAGGACTTGCCTAGTTTTGCATGAAACGCACTTAAATGAAGAAATATATTACTTGTAATGATGCATGGATATGTAATACGTTTTTATGTTTGTTTTGGCTCCTCTTCAGTAAGCTTTCTTAAATCATCTTAAGTAAGAAAAATAAATCTACTTCCTGTTGAGTTTACTTTTGCCATGCTTACTGAATAAGGGCTTATGTACCTGGTGCAGGTCTGGAACCTCCGGTTTTCTTTAATATTTTGAGAATCTCAATACAGTATGTACCTATCACAAAGCCTCAAGTATGCAAGATGATGGCCGATTGTATTTTTCTTTCGTTATGCATTAAAACAATTACTGATTTTATTAAACGTGAGTCTTTATGCATGAGTTTTTCCAGCCTGAAAGCGAGGGGAGCGGAAACCCCAGCTGAGAGTCAGTTTGTGCTCTCACGGATAGTGCAACCTCCTCGCCCACAAATAACAGCTTAGATCAACAAGACAAACACCCTGCAGCCGCTAATAAATTATCAGCCAATCGTGCTGTGGTTAAACTGCTGCATGCTCTCTTTCCAGTATGCACCTCCGCCTGCAGTGTGTACATACCCAACCACATTTTCCTACCGCAGCAGTTTCAATCACCATGTTTTCACATTCATGTATATGGGGTTTTGATCTTTAAACTTATTTAATAAATTAAAACATTATTTTGTAGCATAGTGCACTATAAAGATGTAAAATGTTATTTGTTTTTTAAGAAGTCAATTTTAAGTAGTAAAATAGGCAGTGATTTAGCCAACATAATAGTCAAGTTTAGTATTATTATTATTAATAAATTATAGTATTTTTATGATATGAATTATTGGAACCTAAATAAGTACTTATGTGGTACATGCTGTATTATATTGTTTTTTTGATTTATTGATAATACCTGGGATAATATAATAATCTTTTTATATAATAGTTTCATTTTATTTTTAAGATAAGATCTCATACAATCAAAATTTATAAAAAAGAGTTTAATTATTCATAATTGAAAAAGTGCGTTTGTAGAGAATTCGTCGTACTACACGTGTAAAGATAACATTTCATTTATTTTATGAGCAGATTTTTATTTAAGAAATTCAGAGAATGCAACAAAAACATTACAATGGGAAAGCAAAACATTTTACATTTGGGTACATTATACATTTAAAAAAAATCTAAATATTTCATTTTAAAGATGAAAAAATTAATTGTGCAAAGCAGATCAACAACAAATTTAAAAGCCATACATTTTAAGCAGAAATAATATTGCTGTAGATATGCATCTATTCTTTAGTTAGCGAGATGTGCTTTATGTAATAAACCTTTGCTTGCTTGATATTTATCTTATGCGTTAAGTCTCTGAGCTTTTGTCTTTCTTTCCAGCTTTTTTCTTTAATTGAAATATAGACACAATGCAAAAAAATAAACCGTTCTTCATGAGCATGACACCATATGCATAGACAAACAGGAACATACTTGGTATTTGCTCTGAATCTCCTGTAATAAAGAAAAAAACCACACAGTTAAATGCTTTTATGTAAAACATTTATATGTTAATTTTATTCATACTGCATATAGGTAGCAAGCGCAACATATCTGCACATTATGTTTTTGATAAACACAGGTAACAATTTATGTGAATGAAATGTTTTGGCATGAATGATCTGACAATGTAAGTTTTTTCTTCTCTTTTTGGTCCCTTAAGGTGCAGTGTCAATAAAAGGTAACACTTTACAATAAGGTTCATTAGTTAACATTAGTTAACACGAACTAAGATTGAACAATACAGCATTTATTAATCTTAGTTAATGTTAATTTCAGCATTTACTAATGCATTATTAAAATCACAAGTTGTTTGTTAACATTAGCATTAATGCACTGTGAATTAACATGAACTAACAATGAACGACTGTATTTTTATTAACTAACATTATCAAAGATGAATAAATACTGTAATGAATGTATTGTTCATTGTTCATTCATGTTTGTTAATACGTTAACTAATGTTAATAAATTACATATTATTGTAAAGTGTTACCCAATTAAATTAAGACAAATAGGATCAGTTAGATCAGAATAGTTCAGTGACTCTATAATAATAATAATAATAATAGTCTGTTAAATGACTTTAAGAAAATGTACAAAAGATTATACTCTGATTTTAACTGGCAAAAAAATTATTAATTTAAATGTTGGCTTGGAAATAAGATTTTGAAATACAAAAATAGTTAAAAATCCATCCAAATGTATCTTTATCCAAATTTATATACAGTTATCTATTATTTTTTATTTATTTACCTGATATTTGCTTTTTTATGGTCTCCTCCGTGCTGGGTGGACATGTTGGGTTCTGAGCATCATTTTTAGATTCCTTTGCCGGCTTACTGATTTCTAAAATATCAAAATACAGTGACAAAAATGTAAATGCAAACACACAAACACATGTATATATGAAGAGTTAATTTGCAAAAACAGATAACTCAGTTTTTAACAATTTTCAAAAATGAAGTATTTTTCATTGTGCATTCCAATTAATCTCAATCAAATCAAAAGTTGGGTTATTTTGATTAGGTTAAAAAAAATAACTAAAAAATACAGCTAACTAACACAATAAATCGCAATAAAAACATGATAACATAGTAAAAAACATGGTTTTTGAAAAAAAGTTATCTACTTTTGCAAATAAACTCTTCATATATATATATATATATATATATATATATTTTTTTTTTCATGAATGTTTCATCCATATGTTAACACTGTAATGTTTGTAATGTTTAATTCTAATTAATTCTTTGATTTAATTAAGGGTTTAATGAGGTTGTCATACATAATAAGGAATAATTGTTTATAATGTAAGCTTTCTGTGTCTTCAACCCGTATCAGTTGTATTAAACTTTATTTCCATGCAATTTGTAGTAAATCGGAGTGTCTTCAAATTACCTTTCTTCATTTCAAGAGATTTGGAAGGATTCTCAGTGTTTCCCTCATGGGTAACAATGCATTGGTAGTCCTTGTTTTCTGCTATAGTTTTATCTACAATCATCATACTTGTCACAGTGACAGCTGGACTTTCTTTCCTCTGCTCCACAACATTTTCCTCTGATACATCCGTCCACTGTTCTGCACCGCTCTTTTCTTGCCATTTGAATGTCACAAAGTCAGGAACCATGCCACTGGCATGGCATAACATTGTCTGTTTGCCATGATTGTCAGTGGTTTTTTTTGATGGTCGGTATCCAGTCAACTCTGGTACCGTGACAGTTTCTTTCTTTGGGTCTTGAGAGAAACACATGTTGAACATAGCTTCAGTGATCAATGAGCAAATGAGCAAATAAGCAAAAAGAGACTGACTGGCAAATTGTTACTTAGAAATTATATAATTTTATGCATTTGAAGAAATTCTGACACTGTTTCCTACCGGTTACAACCAGCCGTGTTCCAGATCCAAATCTTTTGATCCAGTTGCCCACTCAGATAAAGTCTATTACAAATACTTCTGAATAATGAAAAACCTTCTAGCCTGCTATATAATTGATTAAGACCACTGTTCCTGATGGTCTACACTATTTTAAAGGGATAATTCACAAAAACAAAAAAGAAAATTCTGTTATCATCGCCCTCATACTATTCAACATTTGACTGTATTCTTCCGTAAAACACAAAAGATATTTTGAAGAATGTTTTAGAACTGTTTTTGTTCGTACAATGGAAGTCAGTGGGGTCCAAAATCACACTGAACCTTTTTTATTATTATTTTCGTTGTATGCACAAAACAATTGCAGTTTTCAAAATATCTCCTTTTGTGCTCCACAGAAGAAAGTCATACGGGTTTAGAATGACATGAGGGTGAGAAAATAATGACAGACTTTTCATTTTTGGGTAAACTATGACTTTAGCATATTTTCACCTTTTTTATGCAAACATGCACACTCACTAAGCAGCCTGGAATTGCTATTCTACAGTAGCTATTCTTCTCTCTGTCTTCAGCTGAATTACACAAGTAATTTGTGTGAAATTAAGTTCAAAATGCTTAAAATCAGCCTAGAAGACCTTAATGATATGATTTTTTTCTTACCTATCACGAAAAGTCTTGTACCCGAACCGAAGACTTTCCTGTCTCCCACAGTCATTTGTTCTTGAACAAAAAGGTGCAGCTTGTGCAAAAGAGCATCTGCTGTTGCCTTTTGTACATTGTTGTAGAATATCACCGTAGACTTTTGAAATATTAACTCAGAGAGATAATATGAATCTTAATCTTGATTTTGGTCATTGAAGTGCTAAAACACTTTTAATTTACTTCTGCATTGAACAAATCCAGCAATAGTGTTCTGTACAGTGTCATATCACATTGTTACCAGTAGGACTGCAATAGTTTATTTACAAATCTTGCAGTACTCACTCAGGGCTGGTACAACTGTCAACAAGCTGAGATTTGACCAACAGTAGAAATGCGGTCTGTGGCTATGCAGACTCACTAAACTTTTAGTAAAAAAGAATAATATTAATTAATTAATTAAAAAAATAATTCAAATGAAGGCCTTGTGTCTGTTAAATAATTAAAAAAAAAACTTGTGGCTTGTGGTTTCAGATTAAAGCAGGAAGCCTGCTGAGTTTTTGCACAGGGTGTTAATATTTATAACCACTGTGCCGCTTGAGACCCAGCAGGCACAGTAATACACTGCCAAATGCTCTTCTTTCAGTTCACGTATTTTGAGAGCCAAATTTGATGGTTTCCTATCTATTGTAAATGATTCAAAACCAGCATCGTTGCTTGTGGTTGTACTTGAAATTCCAGAATATAATATTCTTCTTAAGGTTTGTCCCTCTTTTAATTGATACCAGTGAATGTAGTCCCTGCAGTCTGAAGGATAATTACAGTCTATAACAACTGTCTTATCCAAAGCTTTGATCAATGACATTTTCTGTTGCAACTTCACGTTTCCATCCACTGCAACAAAATAACAATCAGACTTGACATAAAATATGTTGCCCTATAGGTAATATATAATAGCTGATATAAATGATATAATGTTTATAACTTAAATGAGAAAATTAGAAAAAGATGGTATGTTGAAAACCTCAAAATGAGAAGACTCACCTTTACCTAAAAGGTACATAAGAAACAAAAACTGCAACTGCATTTGAAGACTCATGATGGCAGAGAGTGTCTGGAGAGCTTCTGTCTTCATTCTGGGATGAGGGGAGGTTTATGATATTAAGTTTCCGGCCTTCATGCTGATCTGAGTTTGTTTTGTGGTTCATGATTCAGATGTGACAGATTCTTCAGCTTCTACTCTGTGCTTTTGTATTACTCTATGAACGGTAATAAAATTAGCATATAAATGAGTAGTTTTGATGTTTTGAGAATGCTCAACAAAGGCTGCATTTGATCAAAAATGCAGTAAAATGAGTAGCTTTGAAATTTTCACACTATTTAAAACAATTGTTTTCTATTTGAATATAATTTTTTATATTTTTCCTGTGATGGCAAAGCTGAATTTTCGGTAGCACTTTATTTTACAGTACGTATACCTCCCTGTACATACATGGTAAATATCTTGTACCTACAGGCAAATGAGTGGTAACACAAGGTTCTTACCTGAAGTGTACAGTATGTACATAGTAACTAATAAGAAACACGGCTGTACTTAACAGTTGTACATGCATGGTAATTATTTTGTACATACAGACAAGTGTTGGTACTTACAGGTAGTGCCCATACATGGTAACTAATTAGATACTTTACTGTACTTACTGTACTAATGTATATACATGGTAAATATGTAGTACTTATGGGCAAGTGGGTACAAACAGGCACGTCCTTACAGTATCCGTATATGGTAAATAAAGTGCTTTTGCTTTCGCCTAGAAACACACAGCGTCTCCCTGACATGGCTGCATCAACACTAACTGCGGTTACTGAAACCACGCCTTCTTTCTTTGCGTGAACATTTGGGCCTCATTATGCAAATATTTCCACATAGTGAGGTAGATATGTGGGGGCGTGTTAGAACGAGCCGTGTTAGGGGGGCGTGGCAGAGTCTCAACTTTGATAAAGAATATCTCTTTGGTTTTAAGACTTCAGTCTTTGCGACTTCAGGGATCTTATCTATGCACAATCAGCTTGTAACACTCCAAAGAGAAAGGAAAACTTGAAATCGCATCATATGACCCCTTTAACAGTCGTACATGCATGGTCATTTGTTTGTACATACAGACAAGTGTGGGTACTTACAGGTAGTGCCCATACATGGTAACTAATTAGATACTTTACTGTACTTACTGTACTAATGTATATACATGGTAAATATGTAGTACTTATGGGCAAGTGGGTACAAACAGGCACGTCCTTACAGTATCCGTATATGGTAACTAACAAGACGCATAACTGTACATACTAATGATATGTACATGGTAAATGTGTAGCACCTACGGAAAAATGTGGTATTATGTGGTAACAAACAAGACACATACTGTACTTGGTATATACGGTACGCTTGGTAAGTCCTAACCTGTGTAATGTTTATGTAAAATGTACATGCATGGTGTATGTACCTATTAGTTAATGTACAGAATAAGTTATGCGGTACTCAAGTTGGGGGGTATAAAAATGGACCAAGGTACTTATCGAGTAATTGATGGTAGGTGCCATTGCAGTTTGGAACTTTGGAAGTTGGTTGGGAACACGGCAGTAACTGTGCAGCACTGCATAGTGTTAATACTTAGCAGGCACAGTCCTTTTAAACAGGGATTTAGACACATGACAATCAGGAGTTGCAAGTGCAAATATGAGTCTGGTAGCTACTGTATAATTCCAAAATAAAATTTGTCTACACACATAATTATTAGAAATGTAGTCATCAAAAATCCCTATTGGACCAATTAGTTAAGAGAAACAGTGTCGTTAAAGATGAGGCAAGTTAACTGCAATGGCACTTACCATCAATTACTCAATAAGTGTATATTCATGTACGGGCACTACCTGTAAGTACCAACACTTGTCTGTATGAACAAAATAATTACCATGCATGTACGACTGTTAAGTACAGCCGTGTTTCTTATTAGTTACCGTGTACATACACTTCAGGTAAGTACCTTGTGTTACCACTCATTTGCCTGTAGGTACAAGATATTTACCATGTATGTACAGGGAAGTACACACACTGTAAAATAAAGTGCTACCGAATTTTCAGCAAATCACCATATTAGAAAGATTTCTGAAGGCCCAAGGGACACTGAAGACTGGAGTAATGGATGCTGACATGCAATTCCATGGCTTTGCCATTAAAGATTAAAATAGAAAACAGTTATTTTAAATTGTAAAAATATTTAACAGTATTACTGTTTTTGCTGTATTTTTGATTAAATAAATGCAGCCTTGGTGAACATAAGAGACTTTTTTCAGGAACATTACAAATTTTAATTATTACAAACATTTGACCACCAGTGTACATAAATTCTTGTCCGCTTACTTAATATGCTACATAAACAAAAATACTGGTAAAGCCTTGAGCAGCTTATTAGACTGTGTAGGGCAGTGAACTCATCTTTCTTTATATGTGCAAAATGTTATTTCACCAGCAAGGGATGTATATTTCCAAATTTCAGACAAACTTTAATCATTTCCACTATGTAAGTTCACCTATAAAGAAGGGGTTTGTATGCACATCTGCAGTCTACTGATGTTTTTCACCACATTTATGAGGATATCCAGCAGGTGCAGCACCACACCAGAACCCTATTTCTGAACAGAATGGTATCAGAACCCAATTTCTAATCATACATTTTTGATATCAACTGCATATGGGTAACAAATGGGAGGCTGTTTTCCTGTCCTCATGCTAATCTGAGTTTTCATTGAGGTTCATGATTAGGATGACAGCTCAGGCTGAGAGCCCCTTCTTCAAAAATAGTAAACAGAATCTGGTCGTGTTGTTTATTTCTGCATTTGTCAGTCACAGCTTACACTGCATTCAAGATATACATTTTGTAATTTCATGTATTCCCTGAATCAAACCCATAAGCTTGGTGTTATTAGCACCATGCTCTACTGTTTGAACTACAGTAGTACATTTATGTTTATATAAAGTTCAGGGAAAGGTTTGTGGTTTCTGATCAAGACAGGAACCCAGCAGTTTTTGTGCAAAGCTTCAGCATTTATATTTACAGTGCTGATTGAGTTGTAGTCCCAGCATGCACAGTAATACATCGCTGAATGCTCTTTTTTCAGCTTAGTGATTTTCAAAGCAAAATGATTCGATGCTTTCTTTTCTGATTTGAACTCATCACCAGCATCATTCCATTTCGCAGATCCATCATTAATGTCAGCATACAGAATTCTCTTGAGTGTTTCTTGATCTTTTTGCTGATACCAGTGGATGTAGCCCCAGCAGCTTACATGTAATTGACAGACTACAACGGCTAACTTTTCCACTGCTTTGGTCAGTGAGATTTTCTGTTTCAGTGCAACAGCTCCATCCACTGCAAACAAAACAACAAGAAGTCACAAATCAAATTTCCTTTTCATAGAGACTTTTGACTATTAGGTTAGGTGCATAATAATGGTTATTCAAAACACTAGTTTTATAATACAGAATCAGTTATAATGCCACACAATAAAATACTCACCTTTGCATATCAACTGAATAAACAGGAATAACGAAAGCATCAGAGGAGCATTCATAGCATTCATGGTGGCAGAAAGAGCCTTCTTCTGTGTTTTCTCTGTGATGAAGGTGGATTTAATTTCAGTGAGCTACAAACAGGAAGTTGCAATGCTATTGAGTTTCCTACCCTCATGCTAATTGAGTTATACAGTATGTGACATGATCTTAATCTGTACATTTACCTTAAGTTTATTCTTTTCCATCAAGGATTTATGCATTTCAATAATGGATTTCATAATTTCCACCACTTTTGAATGTGACACAGGATCAGCCTGTTAGTCTGCGATGAGCGTGATTTCTAATGTTGTTTGGACTGCCTCAGCACCTAAAGAAACAAGTAGCCTATAAGTAGCTGTATTTCAATGTGTGGTTAAAGTTCTTTGAGATACATTTGTGATAAATTTGTGATACACAAAGTGACATTTAAAGACATAACCAAACATTTCTGGCTATTGGTGGTCTAGCACTTTTCAAGTCTCAGAAGTGTTGCACAATCCATAA